ATTTGGTTCCAAGTTGTGTCTGGCCTTAAGGTGAATGTCGGTAAGAGTGTTCTTGTGCCTGTTGGGAATGTTCCTGTGATTGAGATGTTTGCTCAGATTCTTGGCTGTCGTACTGGTTCTTTTCCCATTTCCTACTTAGGGTTGCCTTTGGGAGCCTCTTCGAGATGTGTGGGGAGCTGGGATCCTGTTATGGATAGATTTGAAAGGAGGTTGGTGGGGTGGAAAAAGCAGTACCTCTCAAAGGGGGCAGGGTGGGTCATGTTGATTAAGAGTACCCTTTCTAGCCTCCCCACTTATTTTATCTCCCTTTTTCAGATTCTTTCTTCGGTGGCTGAGAGAATTGAGAGATTACAGTGCAACTTTCTTTTTTTTTTTTGGGCCAGGGGGGGGGGGGGGGAGGGGGGATAGGAGAGGAATTCAAGTATCATCTGGTTCGGTGGGATCAAGTGTGTCGTTCGATTCGGAATGGAGGTTTAGGGTTAAGGAGGTTGTTGCCTTTTAATAAGGCTCTCCTTGGAAAATGGCTGTGGAGGTTTGGGAATGAGAGGCATTGGCTATGGAGGAGAGTTATCGCGAGTAAGTTTGGGGAGAACAGAGGTGGTTGGAGCTCTCTTGAGGTGCATGGTCCTAGGGGGGTGGGGGTTTGGTCTTTCATTCGGAAGGGGTGGGATGTTTTTTGTAGGCATGTTCGTTTTCGGATCAAGGATGGTAGGAAGATCAGATTTTGGGAGGATCTTTGGTGCGGGGAGCTTCCCCTTGCTCTTGCTTTCCCTCGGGTTTATAGGATTGCTTCTCACAGACAGGCTATGATGGTTGATTGTTATCACTTCGATAACGGGTCATTGACTTGGGATGTTTAGTTTAGAAGACACTTTCAGGACTGGGAGATTGAGGAGGTTTCTCGTTTTTTTGGAGGTTTTGTATCGCCAGGTGATCACAGTTGGGGATTCGGATTGTTGGCTTTGGGTTCCTAACTCTTAGGGTCGTTTTGAGGTTCGGTCCTTTTTTAGGTGTTTTTCAGTTTGTGATGGAGGCCCTTTCCCCTGGAAGTCTATTTGGCGATCTAAGGCTCCCCTTAAGATTGCCATTTTTGCGTGGACTTCCGTCCTGGGCAAGATTTTAACTTAGGATAATTTGAGAAGGAGGAATCAGGTGGTGGTCAATCGTTGTTATTTGTGCTTATGTGATGAGGAGACAGTTGATCACCTTCTTTTACATTGCAGCATGGCCAGAGACTGTTGGGATTTGATGCTTAGATTATTTGGGATCCATTGGGTTATGCCTCGTTCTTTTAGAGGATTGATTGAGGCTTGGAGAGGCGTTTCAGTTGGGGCTCTCGTGCAGGATGCTTGGAGGGCTACGCCTCTTTGTCTTTGGTGGTGCATTTGGCTTAAGAGAAATTGGAGATATTTTGAGGGAAAGGAGAAACCTGTTTCTATGCTTAAGTTCTCTATTATTTTCATTCTTTTTTGTTGGGTTTCAGGGAGAGATTATAGATCTTTAGAGGAGATTTTTGTTTTTTTGGCCTCTTTGAAGGTTTGAGGCGCCTTTGGCCCTTTTGTTTCCTTTGGGTTCCGTTCCCCTCTTGAGTGTTTTCAATAAAATCTTAATTGTCAAAAAAAAAAAAAATGAAAAAAAATAGGAGATCCTTTGAAGGAAAGGAAAATTATATTGGGTTGTTGAAATTCTCCATTCTTAACACCCTTTTTTATTGGGTTCTAGGAAGAAATTGTAAATCCATGGATGAGCATGTAGATTTTTTGAATTTGTTGAGGGTTTAGAAGCCTTATTTGGCCTTGTGCTGTTTTTGAGGGATGAACACTTTTAATGAATTCTTACTTATCAAAAAGAAGGTAAGGTAGAGCCTTGGAGGTTTGATTTATCCAACAGTGGACAATCACAGTTTTGTAGGAGGATCTTGACATCTTAGCATGCAATTCGAAGAGGAGGAACTAGCTCTTTGGGTGAAAGTCCCTAAATCAAGTTGGGTTGTAGAAATGATCCATGGGTGTATGTCCCTAAAGAGAGATTCGGTTTTGTGTGCAAGGTTGAAGCTGCAAAAGAATTGTCCTAATCAATGCCATTGGAATGAAATTTTTTTTTTTTTTTTTTTTTTTTTTTTTTTTTTTTTCCACCTGGAAGTGATGATTGACCTGATCGAATTTGTGCCAAGGTGGAGATTATTAGGAATTGTATGTCACATTCCTAGTCTAGTTAGTTTTCTATTTTAGAGTTGATGGGTAGAGGTAGGTTAGGGGTTGGTAGAGTCGAAAAAACACGAGTCACATTGGTAGCGAAGAAATAGGCTGGTGGAGTACATGCTGAAAAGACACTGTTATGATAAATACAGTGAACCAAGAACAAATCAAGAAACACGATAGAAAAGTAAACACACCACACACAAAAAAACACAAAGATTTAGCATGGTTCGGCAAAGCCTACATCCACGGTGTAGATCCGGTAAAAGTTTTCATTATGCGAAAATAGGAGATTACATGTTTTAGTCCCTGTAAAGACCCGAATATATATATATATATTTATTTATTTATTTATTTATTGGTACTATTAATTGTATATTAATATTTATGTTAGTTGATTTTATATTGATTAATTATATATATTAATATATATGTGTATCCGTGCCTTGATATTTGTTATAAGTTGGTAGTATAGAAAGTACATATAATAGATTAAAGGATAATGTATGGGTCTTGGTATTTTTGTGAGACCAATCTAAGTGGGTTAGGAGTGTAGTTATATAAGAAAACAAATCGGTATATTATATAGGTTAGAATACCTTGGTGTTTGTGCTGAGGTAAGTTAGTTTATATTATATGCCTTGGTTAACCAAGGCCAGGCTGTGTGGGGAAACAAAAAAAGAAACGTGCTTGTGTGTGTGGTAGGTCCCCATGTGAATTGTACAACACACATATATATATACACACACATATAAGTACATTGGTGTAAAGGGCATTAGGTGTGACGTAAAAAAAAAAAAACAAACCGACGAGAGTGAGGAAACGTGAGAAACATAGAGGGAATTGAGAGAAATTTTATAAACCCTAGCCCCTTTCTTCTTCTCTCTCTTTGAAAAGTTGAATGGAGTTAATTATCTTTCTTGGGCTCATGCGGTTCAAGTTTTTACGGTCATCTTTGGGGTAAAGCTCCACTGTACCTCTCATAGAGTCTTCTGCATTAGTCTCTAGCAGTGGAGGTCGTGGTGGGTCTCGTGGTAACCATGGTGGTCGTGGTAGTCCCCGTGGTGGTAGCCGTTCTAATGGATGTGGTGTCAAAAAGTGTGATAATTGTAGTGGTACAAATCACATTGAACCTAATTGTGGTGAAATATGGCAAACCACAACATACACATCAGGTTATGGATGGTACTGCACAACCACTGTTGCCTCATACTACATTTGGACATGTGGCTTCTGATTCTAGTTCTTGTGATATGCTCACTACTCAGCTTAGTGTCACGGGCTTAGAGTTTCAGCACCACTCTAGCTGCTCTCGTGCGGCACCAAGACGTTGCTTCCACTCTCGCAAGTACTTGGTCAGCCTAACTCCCGTGCACACCTTAGCCAACACACTCCCTTCGTGCGCTTACTAGTGTTGTAGTTGCCCTCGCCCTCTCCTCACTTGGCTTGCACACTCACACACACTAAGGCACTTAAGTTGGCAAGGAAAGAACACTTCTATTACTTCAAAGAATGCTTTGTGCAAGGCTAACACTCAAGCTCTCTACAAGGCTCTCAAGACTCACTCCAGGACTTGTTGGTTACAAAATGAAGTCCTACTCCTATTTATAGGCATCCCCATCCCTAATGGATGGCTAGGATGCATTCTAACCAACGGTGGAGATTGATTCTCTAGAATCTTCTTCCACCTTCTACACATCTCCATACATATCTACAACATTCTAAAACCCTCCATACTACTCCACACAATTCTGGAGAATTCTAGAACCTTCCACACATTTCTAGAATATATTACACATATCTAGAATCTTCCACACAACTCTAGACTACTCCGGAAGACTCTAGAAACTCCACTTGCCATGCAGTTGCCATACAGCGTCCTCCTCAGCGTCTACGTGTCGCCTGCGTGGCACAACCTCCATAGGCGGGGCGTGACATTAGGGAGCTCATCCAAACACTACAATCTACTCTCCCACATACATCGACTGCTACCTTAGCCAATTCAGGTAATATTGCATGTGTGGCCCAATATTCTTCATCCTGGGTCATTGATTCTGAAGCTAGTTCCATCTGGTATATCATCTCTCTTTTCTGATCTCAAATCTATTAAACATCATATAGTTTTAGCTGATGGTTCTTCACGTCCGGTCTGTGGGAAGGGTGTCCTTCACCCTACCAAGTCATTGTCATTATCTTCCAGCCTTTATGTTCCTAATTTTCCTTTCAATCTGCTTTCTATAAGTCAACTGACTAAGGCATTGCACTGTTCAATAACTTTTTCTCCAACTCTTGATGAAGAAGATGATTGGTTCGGGGTATGAGAAGGATGGGTTATATTATTTGGATCCTGGTGAACCGCCTTCTACCTTATCATCAGCTTTGAATGCTACAGTCTCGCCTCTTCAATGGCATTTTTGTTTGGGTCACCCATCATTGGCAAAGTTACGATTAGCTATTCCTACATTGATTCATGTGTCTGTCTTAGAGTGTGAAGCTTGCCAATTAGGCAAGCATCATTGTAGTTCTTTCCCTAGTAGTAGTCATAGTTATCAAACTGAGTCTTTTGATGTAGTCCATAGGACTCCATGCGGACATTTGGGGTCCTTCTTAAACAACTAGTTTGAATGGATTTCGTTATTTTGTTATATTTGTTGATGACTATTCCCGAATGACATGATTATTTTTTATGAAAGAGAGATTTGAGTACCTCGTATTATTGCTATATTTTATAATGAAATTTTTACTCAATTTGGTAAACGCATTAAAATTCTTTGATCTGACAATGCTTTGGAATATACACAGTCGATCATGGATTCCTTTTGTGCTGATTGTGGTATCCTACATCAAATTAGTTGTGCTCACACCTCTAAACAAAATGGTGTTGCCGAACGAAAGCATCGCCATTTGTTGGATGTTGCGCGAATGCAGGTTCCAAAACAGTTTTGGGCTGATGCAGTTCTTATTGGTTGTTATCTTATTAACCGCATGCCTTCTGCTGTTTTAAATAATCAGTCTCCTTTCCTCTTTTATATTCTGATCGCTCTCCTTTTCAACTTACCCCTCGTGTCTTTGGTTGTGTATTTGAGTCCACTGCTTTCTTTACATCGTCTGGTCTACATTTGTGTTCTGATCTGATATCTTCTCGTGAGGGGGAGTCTTCCTTATCTTTTCCTACTTTTCCAATGCCATTAGCTCCATTTTCTAGTTCTCCTCCATATTCTAATCCTCCCTTGCAGGTTTACCAGCGGTCACAATCTCGACATGTTGTTCCTTATGCTCCGGACACATCATAAGGAACAACATTATCCACTTCTGCCACCGATGATTTACCAAATGCATTACGTCGAGGTAAACGTACTTGCACTCAGCATCCCATTGCTAATTTTATTTCTTATGATCGTGTTTCCTCCTCCTTGTAGTCTTTTGCCTTTACCTTGCCCTTTGTCTCTACCTCTTCATCTTATAAGCAGGCCTTAACTATGTTTGGATGGAAACACGCTATGGATGAGGAAATGAGTGCTCTTCGCAAGAATCGGACTTGGGAGCTTACTGTTCTCCCTTCTGGGAAATGAACTGTCGGTTGTCGTTGGGTTTACACTGTTAAGTATCTTCCTGATGGTAGTGTTGAGCGTCTTAAGGTGCGTTTGGTTGCCAAAGGGTACATGCAGACCTATAGAGTTGATTACTTAGAGACCTTTTCTCCTGTAGCTCGTCTAAACTCTGTACGAGTTTTATTGTCAGTGGCTGTTTGTTGTTCTTAGCCTTTATAAGGATTTCTTTTCTTTATGGGGACTTACAAGAGGAAGTTTGCATGGATCAACTGCTTGGTTATGCTATTGCTGGTAGTGAGCACCTCGTTTGTCGCCTGTGTACGGTATGAAACAATCTCCCTATGCTTGGTTTGATAAATTTAGTGCTGTGGAGATTGAGTTTGGTTTTTAGCAATCTACTTCTGATCATTCTGTGTTTTTTCGTCACTCTTCTGCTGGTACTATTGTTTTGATTGTTTACGTTAATGATAGCATTGCCGAGTTGAAGCGACACTTAGGTCATCATTTCCATACCAAGGACTTGGGTGCTCTTTGCTATTTCCTTGGGATTGAGGATGCTCGTTCTTGTAAGGGCATCTCACTATCTCATCGGAAATATGTTCTTGATCTTCTTTCTGAGACCGGTCTCTTAGGTGCTCGACTTGTTGATACTCCTATGGATTCAACGGTCAAACTAGCTGTTGAAAATGGGGATTTGTTTGCCGATGTTGGCCGATACCGATGACTAGTTGGGAAACTGATCTATCTTACTGTTACTTGTCCTGATATTACTTATGCTTTTGGTGTGGTTAGTCAGTATATGCATGCTCCTCGTTAACCTCACTTTGACGTTGTTTGTCGTATTCTGCGTTATCTGAAGGGTGAGCCTAGGAATGGCCTGTTGTATACGCGTGCTCTTCTTCCTTATCTTTATCCGGTTTTAGTGATGCTGATTGGCCAGCTGTCGTTTTGATAGGCGGTCTACACCTGGATATTGCACCTTTGTTGGTGGTAATTTGGTTACATGGCGCAGTAAGAAGCAAATAGTAGTTGCTTGCTCCAGTGCTGATGCCGAATATCGTGCTATGGCTCACACCGCCTCTGAGATGTTATGGGTTCGCTCAGGAGATGGGTATTGACGTTCCTACTCCTATGTCAATGCATTGTGATAATCAGGCGGCTATCTTTATTGCTAATAATCCAGTTTTTCATGAGCGTACTAAGCATATTGAGGTGGATTGTCATTTTATTCGCGATTTGCTTATGCAAAAACAGATTGTTACTCCCTATATTTGCTGTGCAGACCAGCTGGGTGATGTTCTTATGAAGCTGTTAGCCTGTCCAGCTTTTCAGCGCATGTGTTCCAATCTGGGCATGTTTAATTTGTATGCTCGAGCTTGAGGTGGAGTGTTAGAGAGTGTGGTTGGTTTTTCTTTTATTTATCAGGGGTACTATTTTCTTTATGTCTACTTAATATATAATAGGTCAGAGGTGTGGGGAAAACCCTAATTTGTGTGTCTCACCTTTCATAGAATACTCGTCTCTCTTTCTCTCATCTTTTCCCTCTTCTTCTCTACTTATACAAACCCTAACTTCTTCAACTTTAACTATTTGTTTATCTACGAGTGTTTTGTGTGAGAGTTCTACTTGTGTGTATCTGTGTGTGAGAGATATTTCTTATAATTAACATAGGAAATGAGGTTCCAAACCTCCCTCTCCCCCTTCCAAGGAGGGAACTTCTTCTTCTTTTTGACCGTTCCCTTCTCCTTCTTCTTCTTCTTTTTCAACCACTTCCCACCCCTCATCCAAGGAGTGGAGCATCATCAAAGCCTGCTCATCATTTCCATCGAAAGGCACTCCCAACAATTGGCTCAAAATATAACAATTCTTTTCATAGAACAATAACATCTAACGGGCTCCCTTAGTTCTAAGATTCAAATTTAAGTTTTGGAAATGATTAATGATTGGTCAAATGAATTCAAGCTAGATGTTTGGCATTCTAAGGCAAAAGTTCGTTATAAAGGACGAAGGTCAAGTAAATGTGCTCAAAGATGGTCGGGATCAATGGAAAAGCTGGCAAACTATAACATTTTTTTATTTAAATGTGTTGTTGAATCAACTCATTGTATGCAAAAATGACATGATGGCAGTGTATAAAATCATTTAAAAGAAGATATAGGTGGCATCACATTGTGGTGAATTTTCACCTATGTCCAATTGTGAGATCCATAATTTATTCTTTAATTTTTCTGAAAGCTAATTTGATTCCCCATCTGAGTAGAAGTATATACCACATTAAATTTAATAGAATCCTATCAGCAAACTTAACAAAAATAATGTGCACACTATGTGGTCATGATAGAACTTCATTATTACTGCTAACAACATTGTTCCTTTAAAGTTTTAATATTCATCTTAGTGATCTTTATGTTATTTTTATTGACATTATTGCATGCTTGTGTCACACGTTGTCTTACTGTTGTCTGGGTTCAGGTAGATGGACCCTTTTTTCTGGCCTCAGAAGATGATGTAATTGGAGTGGAGCATTTATTAGCGGAACCAAAATGCAACGACTTAGGAGGCAGTTTTCTAGGTTTTGATACATCCAGTACACAGAATTGCTTCGATATTGAAGAACTTTCAGCTCTTGAGTGTGCCTATATAAAGATTGAGAGTGGTAATTATCTTATCAACTTGTAATTATATATTCAGTTTTCTTCTTTTCTAAATAATGATTATGTACACTGGAAAGGCTGTGAAAAAAATGTCATTCTTCTTCTTCTCCTCCTCCTCCTTTGTATATGATATCATTATGTATTACTGAAAATAATGTGCAGAAGACATGATTTTTTGCTGTAATCAACTGTCTTTAGCTGACAGTTGGCATCATGATTATAATCATCATTTGTGATTCAATCCATTTGCAGATGTAAGGAAACAGCCTCTCCGCATGCATAGGTAAGGCTGCGTGCATCTAACCCTTCCCAGTCCTTGCAAATTACAATGGCAGAGCCTCAGGCTCTGGGTTTACCTTTTTATCTGTGATTCAATCCACAGAACTAGCTGCTCTTTGTGATTGTTTAGGCTCGTAATCGTTAAGGAAAATATTGCTTGGGTTCCCCTATTCTCTACTATGTGGAGTCATAATTCACTTGTGTTTAGGCTCTTGCCTTTTTTTCTTTATTTTTTTATTTTATTTTATTTTATTTTATTTTCTGCTTTAAGAAATGTTACATTTTTAAATATCCTGAAATTAGGGGTTACCATGATACGATTTCCGAACAGATACCAAAATTACATCTATCCGTCAACTAGCTTGACAGTTCTTTAGATTATTGCCTGTGTAAAAAGTGGCATACTGTCGTGTAGATAGAGTATCTTATAATGCTTACTTATTTATGTGGATTTGACGACCTTGTGGGTGGGTGTGCCATAGGCGGGTGCAAGAGGCACCGTGAGGCTACCACACTGGGCGAGCTACAGTTGCACAATCCCACATCGCATAGGTAAGGGAAAGGTAAAGTGCTTATATGTGATAGTGTAATCTCTAATTGGTATGAGGCCTTTTAAGGTAAAGCCCAAGAACAAAACTGTGCGGGCTCGGGCCCAAAGCGGATAACATCATATTATGTGGTATAGTGAGTCGTTACAAATGGTATCAGAGCCTGACCCAGTCAGAAGTGTGGCTAATGAGGACGTTGGGCCCAAAAAGGGGGGGGGGGGGGGGTTGATTGTGGCGACCTTGTGGTCGGGTGTGTGAGCGTGTGCAGGTAGGTGGCTCCAATACCACATTGAGCAAGCTACAGGTGCATAATCCCACATCGCCTCGGTGTGGAAGGGGCAAGTACTATATATCGATTCAACAACCTTTTATGACACAACGCGTTTTGAAGCTGCGATGGCCGTGAACCCACCAGAACTCTAGAGTTAAGCATGCTTAATCTGGAGTAGTACCAGGATGGGTGACTCCCTTGGAATTCTCTGGTCCGGTGGAGCCAAAAGCGGACAATATTGTGTCTGGCTAAGGTGGGGGTTGTTACAAATGCCTGATGAAATGGTATGCTATATCCATTTAATTTAAGGATATTAGCTGTCATAACTGTTAACAACCACCTACTCTAAAAGCTTAAGCTGTTAGAGACCATCATGTGTGGCCTTCTTTTGGTCCAACGCATGTTTTTCAATTTTTTAATTAGGGTGACGGTGAGGTTTGAACTCGAGACCTTTGGCTCTGATACCATGTTAACAACCACCTACTCTAAAAGTTTAAGCTGTTAGAAATGGTGCAACTTAAATATATAAATCCTTCAACATAAGTTTATTTATTTTTTTATTTTTTTCCTGAATGGGTTTGATATTATATATAGGGTAGAATGTAAAAACCCCTGAACTATTGGGATACCTGCAAGAAACCCCCTGAACTACAAAAGTTGTAAAAAGCCCCCTAGACTATACATTTTTCTTGCAGTTTACCCCATTCGGCGATCGGCTGTCCACATATGACGCGCGACATAAAATATTATACTAAATGACTATAACGCCCTTATAAAAATTGAAAAGACTTTAATGCCCTTCCAATTGTTACACCCAAACACCTGTTAATCTCTGTTTCAGTCTCTCTTCCTCATCATTTTGTTGTACCTTTCTTCCCCAAAAAATCTATAAGTCATTTTCTCTCTATAGATATATATCTTTTTATATATATACCTTTCTTCCCAAAAATCCTTATATGTATATAGTTCCTATATATATAGAATCTCACTATATTGTTCTACCTAGTCACCCTCTATATAGACATTGTTGGAAAGGAGAATATTTGGCTGAGATTTATTGCTGATCTCTAGGGATTGCCTAGCTGTATTTTATGTTTAAATATAGGCCTAGTCAACTCTGTAAATAAGGAAAATTAGTTTTATAGTTATTCTGTTCCTTTTTTTAATGCCTTGTATAGCTTATAAGTAGTGTACGTGTATATCATACTCAATATCAATGAAATACTATTTCACTAAAATAATTGTCTTCTAATTCCTTCTTGTTTAGATGGTATTAGAGCAGGAACTTTATTTCTGACTCATTTCTGCATTCCGAAAAAAATTACCAAGACTTATTCCTTGGTAAACTTTACATTTTTTTTCTTTTTCCTCTCAAATCGAAACCCTAGCTTCTCACGATGTCTAAAGTCTCTTCTAAGCCTACTGAAAACCGTGGTCCCAATTCTAATTCGCACTCTGTTCAGATAACCACTATATGTCTTAATGGAGACAATTTTCTGCGCTGGTCTCAATCAGTGCGTATGTATATTCGAGGGAGAGGAAAGATTAGGTACCTGACTGGTGATACAAAGGCACCTGATTTGAAGGGTACGACTTATGCCACTTGGGATGCAGAAAATTCCATGGTTATAGCCTAGCTTGTTAATTCCATGGATGAAGACATCGCCTTTAACTATATGTGATATCCAACTGCCAAGGAACTCTGGGATAATATTCACCAGATGTATTATGACCTTGGCAATCAATCCCAAGTGTACGAACTGCAACTACAGCTCGGAGAAATTCGACAAGGGGGAGACAACGTCACCAAATACTTCTGTTGAAACACTTATATGTATATATGCATTTAGGTTGGGGTCTTATGGTAATTAGATATAGGGTTTGTGGCTGTTATGTAATTAGGCCTTTATTGTATTGTATTGTATATAAACTCTCCTTATGTTTTAGGGTTTGCATAATAAAAATATGAGAAGTTTCTTCAGTGGCTCTCTCTTATGGTCTCTCTCTCTGTATTTCTACAATATACATATCTTCACTTTTACATGGTATCAGAGCGGATCAAAATTGTGAGTGTGGGAAATTGCAATTGTATTGTTCTTGTATAGATCTGTAGAGTTCAGAGCTCGCGACGGTATAGATCTATAGATCTGTTCGCGACGGTGGTGTTGTTGCCGTTTTTGGGTGTCGACGAGCTCGCCGCCGTTTCTCGTCGTCGTCGCTCGTCTCTCGTCGTTTGGTCTCAGATCTGAAACCCAGTTTTGTTACTCGCCGCCTTCTCTTGCCGTCGCTGCTTGCTGCTTGGTCACCGGCGGCTGTTGTCGTCGTTGCTGGTCGTTGTTTGGTCACCGACGGCTGTTGCGAGGTGCATCGCTGCTTGCTTATTCCATCGTCGTTGCCGCTGCCGCTGCGTACTCGCCGGAGAGTTGAGAGACGAATGGTGTTTGGCTACAGGTGCTCGCTATCCTAATCCAGGTTAATATAAACCGGATTTGTTTCGGCCCGATCCAAGGTCCGGCCTGTTCGACCCGATCCAGGATCCGGCCCGTTCGACCCGATCTAGGATCTGGCCCGTTAGACCCGATCCAGGATCCGGCCCGATTCTCTTGCCGGGTCTGTTCCACTCCGAATCTTCTTTTGTTCGCGGTTAAACTCTGGTCTTGCCTTCTCGTGTGCAACAGCCTCTTTGGTAACTTGGCAGAGATAAGTTTTCTTTTTTCTTTTCATATTCACATCTCCATGCCGGAAGATTCAAATGTTGCCTCTGGGTCTTCTGGAGTTAAATCTTCTGCAACATATGTTGATCCTGTTGGGCTGCAAATTACATCTATGAAATTAAGTAATTCCAATTACTTACTATGGGCTCAAGCAGTAAAGATTTCTTTAGGTGCCCGACGAGAGCTGAAGTTTATTACTATTGATCCTCCATCAAAAACATCAGCAACATATGAGGAATGGGAAACTGATAACTATATGGTTATGTCTTGGTTGTGGAACAGTATGGAACCTTCAATTGCATCCACTTTTATGTTTGTCAACACTGCCAAGGCAATCTGGGATGCAGTTAAAGAAACTTATTCCATGGACACAAATGTTTCGCGCATATATTCTTTGTATGAAAAGATATTTCATTCTCGTCAATCTGACTTCTCTGGTCAAGGGCTTGGTGAGTATTACAGTAATTTCAAAAGCCTGTTAGATGAGTTAAATCAGTACCACCCCTTGACTACTGATCCTGATGTTCTCAAGCGACAACGTGAGGAATTTTCTGTTTCAATTTTTCTTGCTGGTTTGCACCCGAACCTTCATAATATTTGGGACCAGATTCTTGCGGGTGATGGAGGACTTCCATCTTTGGGTAACATTTACTCCCGCCTACTTAGGGTTTCAGAACAATCACATGTGACACCTACTGGAGTGAAAGAAAATTCAGCTATGATGATTCCTTCTATTTTTCCACAGTCCTCTAGAGGTCGTGATAGTTCTACTGGCAACAGAGGGTATGGTGGAAATTCAGGAGATATTCCTAGTGGCAACAGAGGGTATGGTGGAAATTCAGGTAGTTCTCGTGGCGGTAGTGGCCGCGATAGAAGTCGCAATCGCCGTGGTCGTGGACGTAGTGACACTCGTATGTGCAGCCACTGTAAAGGTACTAACCATTCTGTTGAGAACTGTTGGACTCTTCATGGGAAAACAGCATGGGCAAATCAAGCAGTATCTTCCTCTGACCTTGCTGGGTCTCATCCCTCTCTTGGTCAGACTTCTGTATTACCATCACCTGCAGCTACTAGTGACACTGTGACACTATCACTATCACGAGCTGAGTTCAGTGCTTTGGTCAACCGGACACATCCCAACTCTACTGATGTAGTTAATTTTGCGCAATCAGGTAATATTGCATGCTTGT